TTTGGGATTTTTTGGGGGATTTTTTGGGATCTTTTTGGGGATTTTTGGGGATTTTTTTTGGATTTTTGGTGATTTTTGGGGATGTTTTGAGATTTTTGGGGAATTTTGGGGGAATTTTTGGGGATTTTTTGGTGGGATGTTTTGGGATGTTTTGGGGACTTTTTGGTATTTTTGGGATGTTTTGGAATGTTTGGGGATTTTTTTTTGATTTTTGGGATTTTGCAGGATTTTTTTGATTTTTGGGGATTTTTGGGATGTTTTTGGAATTTTTTGGATTTTGGGGAATTTTTTGATTTTTTGGGGACTTTTTTGGGATTTTTGAGGATATTTGGGGATTTTTTTGGATTTTTTGGGATGTTTTTGGGATTTTTTTGGGATGTTTTGGAATGTTTTGGGATTTTGGGGGATTTTTGGGGATTTTTTAGATTTTGGGGGATTTTTGGGGATTTTTTAGATTTTGGGGGATTTTTGGGGATTTTTTAGATTTTGGGGGATTTTTTGGGATTTGGGGGGATTTTTTGGATTTTTGGGGATGTTTTGGGATGTTTTAGGATTTTTTTGGGATTTTGGGGGATGTTTTGGCGTTTTTGGGATGTATTTGGGATTTTTTGGCATTTTTGGGGATTTTTTGGGGGGATTTTTTTCGAATTTTTGGGAATTTTTTTTCGAATTTGGGGGGATTTTTTTTTCGAATTTTTGAGGATTTTTTTTTCGAATTTTTGCTGATTTTTTGGGCCGTTTTGGGGCTGTTTTGGGCCCGTTTTGTGCCCCCCCAGCGTGATCCTGGAGGTGCCGGTGACGGAGCCGGAATTCCTGGAGCAGCTGCGGGAGCTGAACGGGAAGATCGAGGCGGTGAAGGAACAGGCATTCCGGGACACCCTCGCCTGTGCCGACGTCCAGCACGTCCTGGAGAAGCTCAAGGTCAAGGTGGGAATTCCTGGGAACGCCCAGAATTCCTGGGAATGCTCCCAGAATTCCTGGGAATGGCCAGAATTCCAAGGAGAACCCAAAAAACCAGTGGGAGGGCACTGGGAGGGCACTGGGAGTGAGTGGCCAGCACGGCCTGGAGAAGGTCAAGGTCAAGGTGGGAAGGTTCCAGAAATCCCCAGGAACAATCCCAGAATTCCAAGGGATACCCAGAATCCCTGGGAATGCCTGGAATTCCAAGGGATGCTCAGAATTCCAAGGAGAAGCCAGAATTCCAAGGGGAACCCAGAAAGCCACTGGGAGGAACTGGGAGGCAAGATCGAGGTGGGGAGACCCCAAAATTCCTGGGGATGGTCCCAAAATTCCTGGGGATGGTCCCAGAATTCCAGGGAATGGCCAGAATTCCAGGGAATGCTCAGAATTCCAAGGAATGGCTGGAATTCCAAGGGGAACCCAAAAAACCAGTGGGAGGGCACTGGGAGGGCACTGGGAGTGAGTGGCCAGCCCAGAACAGGGTGGAGAAGCTCAAGGTCAAGGTGGGAATTCCTGGGAATGCTCCCAGAATTCCAGGGAATGCTCAGAATTCCAAGGGATGGCTGGAGTTGCAAGGAGAGCCCCAAAAAACAATGGGAGGGCAACTGGGAGCACTGGGATGGACTGGGAGGAACTGGGAGACTTCCCAAATCCTCCCTTTTATCCCAAATCCATCCCCAAAATCCAGGAATTCCTGCTCAGGATGAGGCCCTGGGAGGGACTGGGAGGCACTGGCACAAACTGGAGGATACTGGGATGAACTGGGATGGACTGGGAGGAACTGGGAAGAACTGGGATGAACTGGGAGACCTCCCAAATCCTCCCTTTTATCCCAAATCCATCCCCAAAATCCGGGAATTCCTGCTCAGGATGAGGCCCTGGGAGGGACTGGGAGGCACTGGCACAAACTGGAGGATACTGGGATGGACTGGGGTGGACTGGGAGGAACTGGGAAGAACTGGGATGAACTGGGAGACCTCCCAAATCCTCCCTTTTATCCCAAATCCATCCCCAAAATTCAGGAATTCCTGCTCAGAATGAGACACTGGGAGGGACTGGGAGGCACTGGCACAAACTGGAGGATACTGGGATGAACTGGGATGGACTGGGAGGAACTGGGATGGACTGGGATGAACTGGGAGACTTCCCAAATCCTCCCTTTTATCCCAAATCCATCCCCAAAATCCGGGAATTCCTGCTCAGGATGAGGCCCTGGGAGGCACTGGGAGGCACTGGCACAAACTGGAGGATACTGGGATGAACTGGGATGGACTGGGATGAACTGGGATGGACTGGGAGGAACTGGGATGAACTGGGAGCCCCCTGAAATCCCCTTTTTCTATCCCAAATCCATCCCCAAAATCCGGGAATTCCTGCTCAGGATGAGACACTGGGAGGGACTGGGAGGCACTGGCACAAACTGGAGGGTACTGGGATGAACTGGGATGGACTGGGAGGAACTGGGATGGACTGGGATGAACTGGGAGACTTCCCAAATCCTCCCTTTTATCCCAAATCCATCCCCAAAATCCAGGAATTCCTGCTCAGGATGAGGCCCTGGGAGGCACTGGGAGGCACTGGCACAAACTGGAGGGTACTGGGATGAACTGGGAGCAACTGGGATGGACTGGGAGCAACTGGGAGCACTGGGATGAACTGGGATGAACTGGAAGTCCTCCCAAATCCTCCCTTTTATCCCAAATCCATCCCCAAAATTCAGGAATTCCTGCTCAGGATGAGACACTGGAAGGGACTGGGAGGCACTGGCACAAACTGGAGGATACTGGGATGAACTGGGATGGACTGGGATGAACTGGGATGGACTGGGAGCACCCAAATCCCTTCTTTCATCCCGAAATTCCCGCAGGCCGTCACCAAAATCCGGGAATTCGTCCTGCAGAAGATTTACTCCTTCCGCAAGCCCATGACCAACTACCAGATCCCCCAGAACTCCCTCCTCAAATACAAGTGAGCAATTCCCAAAAAAAACCCCCCCAGGGTGGGAATTTCGGGGGCCTGGATCCCGACAGAGCTGGGAAAAATCCCGGAATTCCAGGTTTTTCTACCAGTTCCTGCTGGGGAACGAGCGGAACGTGGCGCAGGAATTACGGGATCAGTACGTGGAGACCGTCAGCAGGATCTACTTCTCCTACTTCAAATCCTACACCGGGCGCCTCATGAAGATCCAGGTGGGAATTCTGGGGGATTTGGGAATGCTGGAGGGGCGGGGGAGGGGCTGGGAGTTGTTTTGGGGGCGGATTTTGGGATGGATCCCGCCTGGAATTGCTGAGGAAGAGCCACGTTCCTTCTTGTGTCATTTGTTGGGTGAAGGTCCAGGTGGGAATTTGGGGGGTTTTTAGGGAATTTTGGGGTGTTGATCCCAACTTTTGGGATGCTGATCCCAATTTTTGGGGGGTTATCCCGATTTTTGGGGTGCTGAGGGGGTTTTGGAAGGATTCTGGGGGGGAATTTTGGGATGGATCCCAGCTGGAATCCCTGGGGAAGATCCACATTCCCTCCTGCAGGTGATGATTTGGGTGGGAATTTGGGGCTTCCCAGGGAATTTTGGGATGCTGATCCCAATTTTCGAGGGGTTATCCCAATTTTTGGGGTGCTGAGAGGGGTTTGGAGGGAATTTTGGGGTTTTTTTTGGGGATGGATCCCACCTGGAATCCCCTGGGGAAGATCCATGTTCAATCCTGCGGGTAAAGATCCAGGTGGGAATTTGGGGTTTTTTTAGGGAATTTTGGGATGCTAATCCCAACTTTTGGGGGGTTATCCTGATTTTGGAGATGCTAAGAAGGTTTTGGAGGGATTTTGGGGGGTTTTTTTGGGGATGGATCCCACCTGGAATTGCTGAGGAAGATCCACGTTCCTTCCTGTGTCATTTGTTGGCTGAAGATCCAGGTGGGAATTTGGGGTTTTTAGGGAATTTTGGGATGCTGATCCCAACTTTTGGGGGCTTATCCCAATTTTTGAGATGCTGAGAGGATTTTAGAGGGAATTTTGGGGGTATTTTGGGATGGATCCCACCTGGAACCCCCGGGGAAGCTCCGAGTTCCTCCCTCCCCCCGTCGCCTCCTCGCGATCCCGGCGGGAATCCGGCCGCCCCCGGGCGGGATCCCGGCGCTCCCCGGGCATCCCGAGCCTCCAATCCCGCTTTTTCAGCAGGAGAGGCCCCTCCCAGAGCCTTTGGGAATCTCATCCCACCTTTTTTTTCCCTGTTTTTTCCTCATCCCCAGTACGAGGAGGTGGCGGAGAAGACGACCTGATGGCGTCGAGGGACACGGCCAAAGAAGGATATCCTGGAATTCCCAGGGGGATCTGGGGGGGTTTCCCGGGGGAGGGAATTCCGGGCGGGAGGGGGGACACAACGCTGGGGGCCATCCCAAGATTCCTTGACCTTGGCACGGTTCTTCTCCAAGCCGTCCCTGAAGAACAGGAACACCGTGTTCACCCTCGGCAACCGCGGCAACGTCATCGCGCCCGCCGA